GAGTCAGGAAGCTTCAACATAGAAACACGTCTACGAAACTGAGTAGGACTGATATGGTAGTGCTTCACATGAAGCTTATAAAGCTCTACCTTGTCCTCCAGTCTCTGCAACATCTTCCTATATGCCGGTGTCATTGCAACAACTTCACTACCAGGTAATGGGATTGAAATCCGCCTAGGCTCAAGAGCGCCATCACCTGGTTCAAGTGGTTCATGTTTATCACTTGATGGTCCTTTTGATGCTTTAGGAATTTCTACAAGTTCACCTTCTGGCTTCTCAGGTGGTTCTGAAGGAGTATACTCCTCAAGATCATCACCCTTTAAATCATGTGAGGGCTCAGATGGTTTCAACTTGTGTCCTTTCCAAAATGGATCATAACCCTTGGAGGTATACCGAAACTTTGGCGGCACAGGCTTTTCCGCAGCACTGGATGGTACACCTTCCTTCTCTGAAGAGAAGCCTGGCTCCCTGTCCTTTGCAATGGGAACCTTCTCTGAGGAGGAGCGCACCACTGCATCGGGATCACCAATGCCACGGTGCTCGACGCCAGCCTTCCTGATCTTTAGATCTGGAATTTTGGCATCTGGCTTGAACTTAAAAATTGTTCTACCACGCCATTCATAGCCAATTTGTAGGTCCTTCCATTTTGCCTTGCGCCAATCATCTATCTTCTTGATCTCTTCTCCTCCTTCTTTCTTCTTGATGATTGTTAGTCGCAAGTCTTCCAGCAAGTCAGTGTCTACAGGACAGGACTTAGTTGCTGGGAAAAGAATCTTCCTGTAATCCTTGTGGTGACGTGTCAGTTCTCTCTTGTGAAGATCTACTTCCCAGTAGTCAACCACGGGATATGCATGCTCAGCTTCATCTTCATCACTATTGTGATCAACCGAAATATGGCCATATTCATAGTGGGTGAAGTGAGAGTAAAAGCTCTTCTCGCGCCGAGCCTGCAAACGCACGTCAGACAAATACCATGCAATATCTTGGAAGTCCAAAACAAGATGAGTACTGGCTGCAACCTTCAACTCCAAAAATTTGATACCAAGAGGCACCGATGTCAGGTAAGCATGTTGAGGTGTCAGCCTGAGTTCAAAGCCTAAGTTCCTCATCTGTGGCAAGCTCATAAGCAAAGGGACTTCTCCTTCTTCAACTATGTCGAACTCTGTATTGTGGATCGTCCATGCACGATCATACATGTAAATCATCAGTTTCTGAGAGCAAGAAGCCTTCTGAGAATTGGCAAAGTAAAACTTGCTCTTGGTAGACTCAAAAGAGTACCATAGTCCACAGTTTGGGTGATTGTCGACATAGTTACAAAAATAATCGACTGCACGCCTTGATCCCATAGCTCTAGTGCATCCAATGTCTAGGATTGCAATAGTTGGCGGGAAGCGATTCTCAATCAAAAATGAAATAGCCTGCATCTCTTTCACTTCTTCCTCAGCGCTCATAAGCGCAAAGCCATCAGGAGCATCTGTGAGCATCTCCTTTGACAAAGAGTACCTCACAGGGGCACTCATGCCATCGAAGATCGTCTCACCATTGTTGACATTACAGTCAGCTTCATCTTGACATGAGGTCATCATGCCTGACAGCAAGTTCACCTCACTGTCATGGACTTCAGCTGCTGTTGTCACACAATGTGCAAAGAAACCTTGGTGATTTCCTGATGCTTGTGAAGATCTTGAAGGTGCAGGCAAAGAACGTGGCTGTTGTTGATTTGCATAGTTTGCATCTTGTTCGCCATCTCCTTTATCTTTTCCTTTTCCTTTCTTGCCTTTTCTCTTGCCTTTTCCTTTTCCTTTATGGGAAAACCATGCTTCTTCAAGTTGTTGCCAAAAGTCATGGGCATCTTCATGTTCTCCTTGAAGATAGTCATTCATATCTTCGGCAAGAATAGCATCATATGCTACTTGATTTGACTCCCAAGTGTCCTCATAAGGATTCTCTTCAAAATACTCATCTGGATAAGTTGTCGATTGCTCATCAGCATAATGGCCTTTACCTCGTCTCTTTCCTTTTCCTTTTCCACGAGGTCTGAAAAATCTGCGGCCTGATCTTCCTTTTCCTTTTCCTTTTCTTCTACCTTCTCCTTTGCCTTTTCTGGCTCTTCTTCCTTGGAATCTCCTCTGGAACCAAGAGAAATTCTGTTCATCATATACCCAAAAGACATCGTCCAGGGCATCAAGGAATCCTTCTGTTCCATCTTCTTCGTCTTCGGCCCAATAGCCATATGTACCATCGAGTTCTCCTTCGTCTAATACGAGAAATGATCTTCTACCTCCAGCACCTGTTGGCTGCATCAGAGGATTGTCTACTGAAGTCTTTGTTGTGCAGAACATCTCAATGAAAACTGTCCTCAACTCTGTGGTGGTGTATTGCTGCAGGACTCTACCACGATGAGTCATCAAAGAGGTCAAAGTGTTCCTCTGGTCCTGAGACAAATCCGCAAGTGACAGCATGAGTAAGGCAATGAGATTCTCTCCTAAAGGAAAATCGTTCTGATGAAGAATTCTCATATTGCCATTGACATTCTGCATGATTTCCTGAATTCTTTCTGCTGTTGGAGCTACTCCAGTCATCGCTGCATCAGCTTGCATCTGAGCTTGTACCTGAGGATGTACTTGTGTTACTGGATCCAACATGTCCATCCAACTGCTCATAAGCCTTTGGAGTAAAATCTGAAATCTTGTCATCCACTTCATCATGTCGGCCGATCCGCGATTGAAGCGCACGAATTGCATAAACCTATACAGGAATACATTGGATCCTTTCACAAAATATGGTCGTAGTACTCGTTTGAAGTATTCTACTCCAGCTCCTGGTGGATCATTCGCTTTCAATGCATCTCTGTCTAATACACGTTTGTATACGGCTGCTTCTCCTTCTAATCTGTTTCTCAATGCTGGTCCTCTCTTCTCATCCTCCTGCTCGGTGATATCACACCAATCGTCTATGGCATCCTCATAGGAAAACCATGAAGTCTTTCCATCATAAGATGGGGGCACCTTTGTAGTGACCTGTGTTGTCATTGCTATAGCTGCTGGTTCTCTTCTCACATGCCTATTCACATAGGCTGCTGGCTCATAAGCCACATCCGCATCAGGCTCTTCCCAGTCGTCAATCCAATCCATGGCCGGTTGCCTACAAGCAAGTCTATGCCTAGGAAAGGAGCTCACCTGGGTCTTCCAGGATCACTGCTCCGCTACCACTGAAAGAGTGACTAGGGCGTACACGGTTGAGGTGCAGACCGCTAGTGTCTTTTATGCGCAGAGTCTTATCCTCTTGAGCCTTATGGCAGTCAAGTATGGACACACTAGATAGGCCACTGGAGTGGAACCTGTACAAGTAGGCCTCTACATTTCAGGGGGGTGG